ATGAAAAAATTTCATAAGATTAAACAATGAAATCGATGAATGAGAGTAGTTTTTACGGTTTTTACAAATTGGAGTGGTTTTCATTTGATCGCTTCTCTCTTTCTCTCTCTCTCTCTCTATATATATATATATATATATATTAAAAGAACAACCAATAATGATAAGGTGGATTCATATATCAAAAGTAATATTGATTCTTATTAATTTGATATATAAATATAATCATCGATTCATTTAGCTAACTTTAGTAATTTTAAAAAAGATTATTGTCACCATGCAACGCATGGTGTCAAACACTAGTTTATATTAGAGCAACTTCAATCGAACGACAAAACCCTAGTTTTGCCTTTTTTTGGATCCAATCGACCGTCAAAAACACTAAAACTATACCGGAGGCTGAAAACGACAAATATGCCGTGGAGAAGATGAACGGCAATCTTGCCAAATTGGTGGTCCCCACCACCTTTTCTCAATATTTAATAATTTTTTAATAAATTATAAATAAATAAATAATTACAAATATTAAATTTTAGGTTTTTATATTTATTATTTAAATTTATATATATATATATATATATATAATAAATTATTAATAACACAAATATGATACCGGATAAACGTAAACGTATTTTATTAATGGAAGTTTTAAAAACTGAAATACATAAATTAAAGGGTTCAATCGTCTCCGCTAGGCATAAACTGACTACAGCTTCCTGCTACGTTTTGAGATCCTTCGGGTTGGTCTTGAGCTGCTCCAAATTGTTGATGTTGAGATACTCGATATTGAGATGCTACGAATTCTGATCCTTGTCCAGACATATGAACCTGGGGTTGCGCTCTCTCTTTCTCTCTCGCTATTCGAATTTTCTCATTTTTTATGAACTCATACCACACAGGATCAGTGATAGAGGTTAGATCGATGCACATAAGTTTGTCATTCGGCAACCTTGCCTCTAATGCAAGTTTCAAAGGAAAATCATATAATATGGGCTATTATTTAGCTGATGACATATATCCAAAATGGGCTACTCTTGTTCAATCTATTAACGATCCACGTGGCCCTAAAAAACAATATTTTGCAAAGAAACAAGAAGCATGTAGAAAAGACGTAGAACGTGCATTTTGCGTATTGCAATCAAAGTTTGCAATAGTAGCAGGACCTGCACGGTTATGGAGGAAGGAAATCTTCCATGATATAATGACTTCGTGCATCATTATACATAATATGATCATAGAAGATGAACGTGATATTAATGCACCAATTGAAGAACGAAGTGAAGTGTAAGACGTGGGAGTTGAGATGATAAACGATGGTGGACTTGAACAGTTTCTTGCTCGACACAAAAAGATCAAGGATAAAGATTCTCAGTTTGTGTTATTTGAACTAATGTAATCTTTTTAAATATAAAATTTATTAATTACAATTTTATCGTTTTTATTTTAACATTTCTTCATTAAATAAATTAATTACTAATTATTTGTTATTATAATATCTATTACAAATTATAAATATTGTTATTAAAAATAGTAAATAAAATATGTTATTTTAATGTGGGATCCACAAATTTGGTGTTTTTTTTAGAGTGTGATTGAAGTTGAGTTTTTTTTTTTTGTGTTTATGGGCCCACCAAATTTGGTTTTTTGGTGTTTTTTTTGTTATGAGGTTGGAGTTGCCCTAAGGTCAAAGCTATAAAATGG